CGGTCCCACCCCCTGTCCCCTTTCTGGACCAGTCCCAGTCCCAGGCGCAGTTCCTGTGTCAAACAGACCSGGACAAGCTTCAACACGGGCCTTTATTGGGTGTGGTCAGTGCCGGTGACGCTGGACCCACCCGACCCGACCCAACACAACACATCAAACACAACGCGGGAACGCTGCCGTGCCCAGTGCGCAGCCAGAAACCGGCATGGACTGTGCCTGTTTCATCCACCTGGCCACACACGGGATTTTCTCCCTTTTCATCCCAGGGAATTATTCTCCCTGCAGGGCTACATCGCTTTTCCCAAAAAGAATGGAGGCTTCCAACATGGTACCCTCCCAAAAACAGCTTTGAATCAACTTATCAACGCAGCAGCCAGCATGGGGACAGTGAAGTCCCCCCAAGGCCATGGCAGCACCTCCCCTGAGTCCAAGAGGCTCCCTGAACCACAGACACAACAACTGAGAGAGGCCTCAGATAGGGCTGGTTACCTTCTCCCTCACTCCAGAGTGTCCCTGGAGAACAGGAGGGCTTCAGCCAAGACCTGCAGCTGCTCGAAGACCTCTCGCTGCATCTCCACAGCGACGTGGAACACGTGGTGGTCCGAGTTGTTGTACATCACCGCGTTCTGGAACATGAGCATGAGGTCACGCTGGAACTGCATCAGGGACTGAATGTGTCCCTTTGASAGCCTCCTCTTTATGCTGCTTAAATCCATGGGTCTACAAAAGACAGAGAGAAGAAGAATTAAATTCCAACCCAGGGCCAGGAATCCTTCGGGATCTGCATGAAAGTGCTTGTTCTCATTTCAGGGTGGCCCTGAAAGCACAGCTATTTTCAATTAATTTTAYTGCTCAAGACACACAGGGGGGAAGTGAGAAAGGCTTTTCTTCCAAGCCAGACAAAAGTAAGTTCAGCCAATGCGACACTTGCTATCCAATCAACTTGGCAGGTCATTAGCAGTCACCTCTGGAAAAAATGGGATGCTGAGCTCCAGAGAAGGCAAGCATTAATTAGTCTTCAGGAAGTCAGACCAGGTCTTAGTGGAGAAAGAAAAGTTACTAAAATAGGTATCTATTAAACTCCCTTAAAATCGAATGGTGCCACCAGCAAAAATAGCAGTACTGGTAAGGGGAACATGATAGGGAATAAATATTACTTCCCTTATTTTGACAGAATGGGAAAATGAATGGCTGCAGAGAGGACAACTGTGACCAGAATAGAACATGATTCAGCTCTGAAAAATGCCATTAATCTCTCTGGGAAATATTCTTGTGACCCACTTCTGTGCTGAGAGTGAAACATCTGGGGCGCTCGCAGCGGGTGAGGAGGGGGCATCTCCTGAGGCACATTCAGGGCCTGGGGAGAAGGGACTGCTGAGCTGCAGTGCCTGGATCCCCTGCCCAGGGACTGTGCCTGGGGTAAGCCAGCCAGGCAATGCCTGCAGAGGGCAGGCACAATTCCCACCAGCTCCAGAGTCAGTGCAAGCTTCCAGGTTCTAATTACCCAGAAGGGAGTTTTAGTGAAAGGTATCAGTGGGAGATGCTGGTGACAGCCAAACTCTAGGAAAGAAGGAAGGAAACCATCCCACTGGCCCTTTGGAAATCAGAGAAGACAGAAAATAACCAGAGATAAACCAACCAGTGAGCACTTCCTCCACGAACTCACCTCTTTACCACATCCTTGTATCCAGGGGCTTGTTTCTCTGACACTGGTTTCAGGAATGGTCTGCTGAACCTACAGGGACAAGGATAAAGAACATTCTCTGCCTGCCCCTGCACCAAACACAGCACTGGAACATGGAGCAGGGCTGGCCTCTCCCTGCTTGCCATGAGGGTCACAGCCAGTGTTGTGCCAGCGGTGTAGGAAGCAGCATTTGGGTTCTGCCACATTAAGCAGAGGAAAACAATATGCAACGTTCTCTCCAGCTCTGCAGCAGACATCTGTTCCCAAAGCAAAGCCCTGGAGAGACAGGCCAGCCTCTGTGAGGGGAGGACTAGGCCTGGTGAMACACGAGCTGGGACTCAGAACATGTTGATCCACGTACCTGTGACTGGCTATCATCCTCCAGAAGGACAGCAGCCTTTTCCTGAGGATCAGGTGCTGGAGGGGGTTATTACAGCTCGGCTGCAGCCTGTGGAGTGAAGACATTGCCAGATCATCACACTCGAGACAAAGTAGGAGGTGACAATTCTGCTGGCACCCACCACATCCAGGTGGATGAAGCTACAAAAAGCCTGAGTGTGATGGTGGGWGTGTTCTGCATTGGAATGCACAACGGAACATCCATAGTGCAGGAAGATGCAGGACAAGAGGTAAAAACAAAGCTGAGCTAAAGAGYAGGATCAAACTGGATAGAAAACCTCATGCTACTCTGCAGTTCAGAATTTCACTGAGCTCCCAAAATCCCACGTTTTTTCTCTGAAAGGCAGTCCAAGTGATCACACATGTGGCAGAGCCTGCATGTAACTGGCACACCTGCAGGGGCTCAGAGGGGATTGGTAATGCTGGGCTGTGCATTCCCTGACAGAGCCTGAGGTCCAGCTCACACCAGGCCTATTTGCCTCGAGAAAACATGTATTTTCCTTTTCATCTCTTATTTAATCTCTTCTCACTTCAGATTAGAATCAATGCCCTAAACTACTGACAAATCCAGAGATGGCACAAGTTAACCTCCTTCCCTCCTGCTCTCCCTGGCTATCTCACCTTCCTGGATGTGACCTGTGCCATGCATTTGTTCTCAYGCGTGACAAGGGAAATGACTCTGTTCTGCTGCATTTGCAAGGGAGCAGAACCAAGTACTCACAGGTGCATGTTGGGAGAGCCTGTGGAGTCCAGCACTGGAGCTGCAGAGGTGCTGTCACTGTCCTCTGGATCCACGGCCTGAGCRCTCATCTCTGGTGGAYGCAGCTCACCCAAGGGTGGTTCTCYRGGYGTCTCTTGAGTCTTGCCCTGAAGAGCAGAGAGGATACATCTAAAACGGCAGCTCATCACCTGATATCTAGAATCCAGCCTGCTGCATATTCCTTTCCYGCATCCAGGCTCAGCTGGGAGCTTGCTTGCTCTCTGTTATTCAGAGGAAGATGTTTTTGACCTCATCCAGGCCTTCCCAGAAACAGATGGGATCACATCCAACGGATCACATCCACCCCAGGCTGACACAAACCCTGTGGAGCGGAGTGGTGCCCGGTGTTGTGTCTGTCTGCTCTCTGGGAATAGTCATGGATGTAGAGAGGGCAATCAGGAGCTGAGGTAAGACTGCCTGAGGCTTCTTAAAGCTTGAGATACAGATAACAGGAACCCCTGGAGTTCAACAAGGTTGTTTCCTCACAAACTCCCACATSAAAATGACAGGGAATAGACTCAGCCAGGAAGGAGAATGGTTCTGTTGTGGTAGTGATTTGTCAGTGAAATGTCAGTGGGATTACATGCAGGGGCACCTCAGAATACTCAACAGATCTGAAACACGAGAAGAATTCTCAGAAAGAAATTGGACACTGTGCTGTGTTTGGCACTGATCACTGGGAAAACTGCAAAGGAGTTGCTGGGAATAACAGCAGTTAAGAGCAGAGTAACTGTTGGGAATAACACTGAGCTGGCTGAACAGGTGAACCCCTGGAGGTTTTCTGTCTYCAGCATCCCGAGTTTGCAAGTGAACAAGTGTGGAAAAATGGCACTGATCCTTCACTACTGTATTACTTTCCCAGGAATAGCTGGCAGGCTGGTGGGAGCCCACAGCCCCCCAAACACAGGACTGATRCAAACCCAGGCTAGACAGTGCCTGTTTCCAAGACATGACAATCCCCAGGGGCAGATGGTATTGCTGGCACAGCCACGTGGGCCCGAAACCAGCCAAGCTGTGCTGCAAAACACAGCAATTAGAACCAGGCAAGTATTCCAGCCTTGCCTTAAACCTGAGAGCAGCCTGCCAGCTCTCATGAGTCACCTTTACACTGCCAAGGAGCAATTCCTCCAACTCACATCTGAGRGTTTCATCTGTAATAAGCTTCCTGTTTATAAAGATACACAGCTAYACATAAAAATCACCTTTCTGTGCTCCCCTCCCTCCTCTCTCCTCCTATGTCCTGTCTCCCCACTCAGAACCCAGGGCTTCCCTATCTCTCAGATCTGACTTCCTTCACTGTCTCATCTCCCACCCAGGGCCAGAGGCTCTTTCAGGACCACTCTCCTACCTCTCTTCCCAGGAAGTGTTCTTCCTCAWCTTTGGCCAGGATGTGTGGCTGACTATCCTCTGCTCCCGAGACTGCTGCTCCTGTGGACTTTTCCTGGCATCTCCCATCTTCCCCATCACTCTGCTTCCCTGAGCCACAATAATCCCACGGAGTCTGTGATGACTCTGTGCTGCTAATGCAGAAAGATTCCAGCATCTGGGTTACCTGCAAGACAGTGATTTATTACTTCAAATTGTGAAGGCAAAAGGGAGAMGAAATAAACAGCAGAGATGCTATTTTTGCAACCACTCACGAACGCCTTTCCATTTTTAGGGATCCTTCCAAAATCTGATGAAGCACTCTTTTATTATTACAGTGTCAGTTCACTGACATTTCTGTGCTTTAGGGTGAACTGTGTTTTAGCAAAGCAGCTGTCTGGTTGCAGTGGGAACTCTAAATGGGAGGAAAGGCTGGACTTGGGCCAGAGAGAAAGTGAACCCACAGCACCTGCTGTGCCCCCATACTGTTTCTGTGGGTASGGATGGTGGAGGCCCTAAAAATCCCAGTGTTTCAGGAGGCCCTGAACTATGCTACCCCCCCACTCCTGTCATCCAAACAGCTTTACCTCCAGGAGGAACTGGAAAAGATTGTCGCTTTCACATGGTTTCTCTGCCTCTTGGTCATCTTCACTCTCATCCTTCCAGAGAGGCTCACTCAGCTCCATCTCATGGTCGGTCTCTTGGCTGCTCCCCTCTAGCTTCCCCATGTCCTCCTCTTCAGTATTTCTCCAGCTGCTCACATCCAGATCCATGCTTGAATCCCAGTCAGGAAGAGACTGGGAATCACTGTTCTCTGACTTGATGAGAGATTCCAACTCTGACTTCAAGGCACAGCCCATCTGCAAACAATGAGAAGACAGCAATTTCTTTGTACCATGATCCAGCACACTTGGAGGGCCTCAACCCTTGGAAGGACTCTGAGGTGAGCAGCCTAAACCTGAGTTCACCACACAGCACGTGGCAGGGCTGCAGCTCTGCAACACCAACTGCTGCTTCAGAGCAATTGAATTTCAGGTTTTCTGGTGTTTTTGCTGTGCTCTTTCTGAGCCGGCCAGGAGCACGTGGCTTTGCTGGATGCTCCATATTTAAGGTGCTGAAGGCATCCAGCAAACTCAAACCGCGTCCTGCTGGGGCTCCTTTGCAGACCTCAGAACAAATAGACTCCAAGGAAAACTCACTGAAATCCCTTTTGCTGCCCCCTRAGAACTTTTTATACTGGAGATAACTTATTACAAACCTTACAGATAAGTTTGTTTTGAAAGTGACAGGTGTGATTTAGCTGGATGGTGGACATTTCATATACCTGAACCAGAAGAATTAAAACCACAGTCACACACTGACAGAGCAGTTCCACACATTTCAGAAAATAAAAGGAAGAAACCATTTGATTTCTGTTCATTAGTCCATGCCCAAGTGCCTTCTACTGAATGAGTGCACAGTGATCTCTCTAAGCCTGGGGAATTGCTTGCAGAGTTGAAGTACAACAGTAAAAGATGTCACAAAATCTGCATCTTGGCACTGGAGCTGCCTGGATGCTGCACCTATGGAGAATTCTATGCATTAATTAACACTGTCTTTAGAGTCYTCAGTTAATTATGTACAACCTAATTTTTTCAGTTTTGAACAAGCACATTTCTCACTGATTGGCTTTTCCTTCTCAGGACTGCTAGCACAGCTCCAAATACAGCTTACGGTGCATAAGTGGGAGAAACAGAATCCTCTGGGTCTGGGATGAGAAAACTGGTTTGTTTATTTTGTGAACTTGCAAGCAGAGTTGGGATCTGAAAGTCTGTCCTTCTGAAACCTCTTTCAAAGTTCACTTCAGTGGCAGCAGATGAAATTTGATGAGGTAAGAGATAAYATTACCTGCTCTCAGCTTGCAGGTGAGGGAGTTGGGCAAACTGAGATCCCATCTGAAGAGAAACTCTGTGCCTGGAGCTCTCTCCTGCAGCTTCAGCAGAGCTGCCACATGCAGAGGCACAGAAAAGCTTCAGCCCAGGGTAATCCGATCACTTGTGATCATCTTTCTGTACTCCAGAGGGATAAAGGTTGAAAATCAGMAAGTCCTGGGAACTTGGGCGTAAGATTAACGAGATCTTCAGCCTTATGTTYGGTTTTACTGAATCTTGGAAGACTCGAGATACCAGAGAGCAGAACAGCAGTGTTAGTGCAAGACATGATGAGTGAAATAATCACAGACTGCTCAGCTCCACACCAATTCCGGACAAATGACACAGACATGAACTTTTAATTAAGAATTGCCTGACAGTTCTTAATTATGTTGGCTACATAAATCACTAGCAAGGAGCCTCTCTCAAATTGGAAAGTTTTAGTTCACTTTGCAGAGATCAGACACTGCGCAACCCTTGCTGTTCTGGGAAAAAGCTGTTAGAAATCAAAAAGACAGTCTTTAAAAAGAACTTACATGTCAAAACAAGAAAAATGATAAAAGCCTGAACTCTAATAAATGAAATGTAGAATCCACATAAAGCAGGCAAAGAAAAAAAAAAAGAAAAAAAGGAAAAAGAGAGCAATTTGCTAAAGACATAAAAGCAAATAAAAACAAAAAACCTAATCAAAAACATCAGAAGCAGAGACCTGCCAGATGATCAGTGGGGATGACACATGATCAATGCCAAACATCTCAATGGAAAATAGGGCCAGYTGGAAAAACCAAATTAATCATCGTTATCAGCAGTTGGCACAGAGGAGCTCACATGAGACCTTCTCTTGGGATGGTTCTGAGAGATGATTTCTAATTAAAATGTCAACAGGGGAGGTTTTAGAACAATTTGAGTGAGCGAATAAACCTCAGAACCCACTGGGATTCATTTGTGAGCCTTAAAGAAGCTTAAATATAATGGGACCAACCCTATGCTCTGTAAAATGTCATTTAAGTTTAAGAAGAAACCCAGAAAGGCGTGACAGTTTTATCTGTCTGTAAAAGGGTGGGTGCTGGGAGATGCAGCACAGTAAAACATCAGCTCTGTACTAGACAGATTAGAACAAAGTATTAGGAAGAAAAGAATTAGTAAATAGTCGGAGCATGAGATGAGGAGTTGGTAAAGAGGCAATGAGGCTCCATAGAGAAAATCATATCTTGGAGTTTTAAAGCTCTTAAACATCTTTAAAGACTATTAAAATGTCATGAGAAATGAAAAAAAGGGTGAGAGAAAAATACCTGGTTAAGAGCAGAAACCAAAGGTAAGAAGGAACAGCACTGCTTGCCATGATGACAGCAAGTTCTGAGGGCCTGATAAAGGTCTCCTGTGCTGCACCTGAATTTTCCAAGAGACAATGGCAGGGCAGAAGTGTTACACACATGGAGCCARACTCTTCTCTGCCCAGCAGTGAAAGCAGAAAGGGATGACAAGTTACACCACAGGGAATTCTGACTGTGTGTAAGGTGAATATTTGAAGCTGGCCCTGCTCTGAGCAGCAGAATGAAGTAAAGGAATGCACAGAGGTTCTTTTCAGTTTAGAATCATGGAACAGGTTGRGTTGGGAGGGACCTTTAAAGACTGTCTGGGTCCAGCCCACCTGCAATGAGCAGGGACATCTTCAAATAGCTSAAGTTACTCACAGCCCTGTACAACCTGGCCTTCAACACTTCCAGRGATGGRGCATCCACAGCWTCTCCGGACAACTCATGCCAGGGTCTCATCACCCTYATTGTAAAAAGAGAAATCTTTGAGWCTAAATCAACCCTCTTTTAGTTTAGAACCATCACCTTATCCTRTCACAATGGGTCCTGCTAAAAACTTTGTCTCTAACTTAAATCCATAAAATACATGAAAGACAAAGAACCCGGTACATTTTGTGCTWTGAACTGAGAAAAATAAAAATTCAAATCAGAAATTTACTCCCGGGTTTAGTTGTGAAGGACAATTAACCAATCACCAAACCAAGGGAGTTTCAGCATTTCCACATCAGTAAGGTGACTCTTGGTGAAAATACACCTCAGCAATACATCCGACTTGACAGAGCAGGCACGGCCAACTTCAACACTGAACTTGTGAAAATCAAGAGCTCTTACTGGATAAGGCAACAATGCCTCTGCTCTTAATCCCAGTGACTCAGTTTCCTGAAACCTGTCTACCAGAAAGCTGCACCCTGGACATGCTGCAGAGTGTAGAGCACTCCCAGCTGCTGCAACCATGGAGGATGGTGTCATTTTGTTGTTTTTTTTCCCCCGTGAAAGGTTGTGTGGGCAGAAAACATGCAAGTTTTATCTCACGTCATATGAGCAGAAAAAGTGACTTGGAAATTCTTGCAGAGAATTAAACCTTCATGTTGCTGAGGAAAATTACTGTAATTTCCAGTAGAAASAGTGCACAAGCTCAGATGTGAAACCAGGTACTGGCAATCCTGCCTACAGGTGTTGGGATCACAGATTTTCACTCTCACCAGTGTGGCTTCCACAGCTCTCGGGGAAAAGAATGTCAAGTCTTTTTCAATGCATTTTCTCCTAAGGAAAGCTCAAACAAGCCTGGGGTAGTTAACTTCTCAAGGTTTGATCTCCTGTGTCATCACAGAGGTGCTGTATCCTCACACACTCAGGCAGGGAATCTTCCTCTCCTTCACCATCCAAGCACTGTGCAGCACTCCCGTGATTTACAGATTGTCATCAGAGCTCTGCCATGCCTGTGTGCTACAGGGATAACTGGAAGAGAATTATTTTTGCAGATAYTCCAGGTGGGAATCCAGGCTTGCACCACAGGGTTCCTCCCTGCAGAGCTGCAATGCTCAGCACACTGCACACGGGTTTGTTCCCAGATTTTAATATACATCACATTTACACATCACTAGTAAAAATCTGTACACTTCACATTACAGTACATACGAGCCACCAGTTGCTAGCTAACACCAGAACACTGATGAAGCCCAAGACGACTGCCCTAAAACAGGCAGGGGGGCTGGTCTTCCCCTCTGGGGAAGTTTCTTTGGGTTACACATTCTGACAAGACACTGCTTTCCAGAAGGGCAAGCAAAGGTGGTGAACCAGGTCCCAGAAATGGACCTGCAGCTTTTCTTCCTCCTCCAAGAGCAGTTAAGAGCTGCCTGCTTGCACTCCAGCTCCGGATGCCTGGGATTCTGCTGGGATTCTGCGTCTGCAGCATCATTTCTTCATCTTCATGTCTGCCTCGATGGCGCAGCGCCGCCCTCTGGTGCCTCCGTCCTGCTCAGAAGGCAAATAAACACAGTTACACAACCCCACAGGAACGTCCCTCCAGCACAGCGGGAGGAGGGAGCGAATTCTGCATCTGGCAACAACTTTTCCTGCCTTCCAATTAGGAGAAAGGGAAGCTGTCCCTGCCAAAGCCTGCCTGCAGACCTACCTAAAGTTGGATCTGGACAGAGCAGGGTGCTGGGCTTGGCAGCATCTGTGCACTGCTGGAGCCAGGGCAGAGAGAGGCAACACAGCTCTGGCCCAGACCGATGCTTTTGGAGCCCRGACAGTGCGGGTTTTCTCCTAAGCAGCAGATTCTAACTTATGGTGGGAAGAGGAAAACTGCTGACTAACGTACCTTACCAGCTGCTGATCCCTATGGGAAGTGCTCCTCCAGTTGAGTGTCCCTGGCACTAGCTCCCTAGTTTCTCCAGATATCTCCTTTCCATGAGCAGAATGTGAGCTGAGAGCTTCTTCTGATCCGCTGCCCTCTCTCTCTGGCTGATCTGCTGCCTCTCCTGGAGTACTTCACTGTCTTTAGATACAAGTGAGAGATAAGAACAGCTCTCCATCTTCCTCCTCTCTCTCCTCACAGTAACTCAAGAGACTTGGGGTTTCCCAGAGGAAATATTTTTCCAAACACTTCCAGATCACCACGGGGCACAGAGCAAGATATTTCTGCAGAGTCTTATTTGCTTTCTGGACCAGGAACAGATAAAGGAGTACACAGCTGACTGACTCCTTGCTCTCCCAAGACCTTTTGTACTGCCTCGGATGTGTGGAAGGGGCAGCTGTATAAACATGAGAGATGAAGGAACTACAGGACTGCACCACTTGGTTTGTCTTCCCACTTACATGGAAAGAAAGCAGGAGAGAAGTCATGGAAAAAAGCAAAAGCAGATGACAAAACAAAAACACTTGGAACCAGAGGAAAGGACTGAAGCCCCACCCACTCACCCGTTTTGAGAATAAGGGACTGAGATGTCTCTTCCCAGATCACAGTGGTGCAGCCCCCAAGTCAAACACACCCTGCTGCAGTGCTAAAGATGCTGTGACAGTGCAGTGATCACCCAGACAAGGAACAGAGCACCTGGCAGCAGAACTGCAAAACCTGCTGGAGCCTTTCAATACTTACAAAGAGAGAGAGAAGGAAGGCAGGAGAGCCCATTGGGACACTGTCCTGTTAAAAGGCCAAACAGAAGGACTTATCAGGCATCAGCTATGGAAAYGCACACACCACACAGAAGCACTGAGCCCACACACGAGCATAGAGAAACATGTGCCCCACTCCCTTTCCCACAGCGCGTCAGTCTTTTGCAGCAGGAACATAAAAACAGACAAAAGGAGGGATACTGCGAGAGTCAGAATGCCAGGAAAGGGATATTCCCTCCACAGCCATAGCAAGTTTGCCCTGTCTACCAATTTCTGCTCGGTGCAGCTGTCACTAGAGCTAAGCAGGCAGTCCCTGCTGTCACAAGTGTTGTGTGCACCAGCTGAGAGTACCTGAGATCCCTTCATCAAGTTTGCATGTACAGAAGGAAAAAAAAACCCCAAACAAACCTTCACTGCTTAGATTGGTGTGGAATTCAAARGTTCTCTGGTGCATTTTACACAGCAAACCAGAGCTGACAGATTCCTTATCTCTAAAAACCTGACTAGAAAGTGAAGGATATGGCAATTCCCCCTTCACTTTTCTGTCATACCACAGAATCACAGAATCTGTGGARTTGGAGGGGAACCACAARKATCATCTTGACCAACTCCYTGCCCTGAAAGCCCATCCYCAAGAGTCACACCATGTTCCTGAGAATATTCACACTTCTTCCACAACTTTGCTAATTTCCCTGCAGCTTTTATCACCTGTTTTTAAAACAGGTAATAGAAGTATTTGGATTACCAAAAAAACTCAGGAGACCTGTCTCTGGAATGCTGTACAACTCTACAGAACTGAAATCTAATCAAMAGACACATTTGAAGAAAATTTGTTCACATGAAGATGCTGGAGCCATTGCAGTCTCAAAGAACATTTTGCCTCCTTGGTGTAATTTCATGCAGTATGTTGGGATTCTTCGGAAGAACCCAAGTGCCCTCACACAGGGTGCAGCATTCTCACCTTCTCTGAAGCATCCTGCTTGCGAGTGGAGTCTCGCCCCCGCAGGCTCTTTGCACTGATCCCTGACTCTGATGTTTGCATCATCAGTTGTGTGGCCAGAAATTGCTGCAAGGAAACCACACTCTGTTAAGATTGTCAGGCAAAACAAGCTCAGTAAGTGCATGTCAGTTAACTATCAGAGACCACAGGCTGGGATTGATTGGGTCAGAGGCAGTTTCAGTTCCTTGTGTGCTGCTCAGAATAAGTTCCCCTATTTACCTCAGAAGCCACAAGTCCTGAGGAACTATAAAACCCCAATTCAAACTCTTAGCCCTGCCAGCTGGGACATTCTGCTTCAAAGGATATTTCAAATAGCATARATTCACAGGGCAGTTTAATGTGTACTTTACATCAACATAAACCAGCACAGCCACCCAAAGAAGCTGTCGCGTCCCCTGTCATTCACTGCTCTTGTTGCTTGTTTCTGTTCCTGAACCACACCCTGGTTCTTGCTGGCCTAAGCATTTCCTTGAAGGAAATTACATTTGAAATTGGTTTGGGATGAACCTATAAAAAAATTTTGCTTGTTACTTTTAACTCACCCACAACCCAGTTCAACACAAAYACCTGAGCTACCATGAGAGATAAGCAGGGAAGGACCCACTGCATTCAAACAAACTGGGAGTGAAACTATGATCTTACAGCCAGACCTACGGACCATGGCAGATGCTCTGTCCTGCACTGGCCTCAGMTCAGTACTTTACCTGGATCTGCTCCAGGACATCTCTCTGCATCTCCACAGCCATGTGGTACACATCATGGTCAGAGCTGTTGTACATCACTGCATTCTGAAACATCAGCATAATATCCCGCTGGAACTCGGCTGTGGTTCGGATCAGCCCGTTCTCAATGTTCTTTTTGATGGTAGATAAATCCATTGGTCTGTGAAAAAAATGCAGGCAAAATTGCAACAAAAATGCTTAACTCTTTCCCCTCTCCTTTGGAAACAGCTCTGAGTCTGTGATGTGCCTAATTACAGCATCTATTTTATTTAGCTGAGTGGGTTCTCCCTGACATGGGCCGTGCTCCCCAGTACCAAGGCCTGGGTCAGAAGACACAAGGTGTCCAGCAGTTACCTGGAAAGGTAACAACAGCCTGAGAGWTTCCTCAGGAGAGGCACCTGCCTTCTCCAGGCATTACTGACAGAGACACTAAGCAGCTAGAGCTGCAGCCACTGAGCTTGAACTGTTTAGGAGAGATTTCAAAAGCTAGCAGCAGATTCTGGTAGMACTTCTAGAAAAGTCCACTATCTGGGGCAGTAAAAAATGCGGATTAAAGAACAGCTTTTAGCAATTCTGAAGGTTAAATCCTACTCTTGGATAAAAACTGGGAGAAACAGATCAGTTTCACCTTACTGATAAGATATTCTGTGCAAGTCAGTGTAATTCACTCAAAGTCAGGACTGTGTACAGGGATGTGCCTGTTACTGACAATGACCCTTTTCTTGGGGAGACCTGCTTCTGACTGAATAATATCAGAAAAAAGACTTTTCCAAGTCTGTATGGCAGGCAAAAACTACATTGTTCCTGCCAGAAATCCCTACAAATATGCAAATATACAGAGTTCTATGACAGAASACTGCTCAGACTCACCTCTGCACGATGCTGTGATAGCCTGGTGCTATGTCATCAGTTACAGGCTGTAGGAAGACGTTGGCATATCTGCAGAGACAAAGAGTTCACTCAGCGCCTCTCCTTGCTGGTAAATATTTGTTTTACACTCTCCTGTTTATTTGTCTGTAACAATATGATTCACCCTCTCCAGGAGAGAGAGATAAGCCTCTGAGATGGGAGAGTGGAGACTTGTCTAGGATTAGTCACTTCTTTCTGCCAAGACATCAAACTCACCTGTGATTAGCTGCAGCTCTCCAAACCAGCATGATGGCTTTCTTCCAGATCTTCTGAGCCTGTATTGCTTCCTGGTCCTCACTGCACACTGAGCTGGGAAAAGAAGAATGTAATTCCTTCAGGAGTCTGCACACTGCCTCACAGCAGAAAACTCATGGTTTGTTTTGTCCTTGACATGCCACGCTAATCCACACCAAAGACAGAGGGAAAAAGTGAGAGCTAGTACTGGAGTGCTGTCTGCACGCTTGCTGTTTTAAGCAAGGAAAATCAGACAAATCATCAACAAATTCTCCCTCAGAACCCACTGAGCAAACCAGAAACGGGAATCCTACACTGCCTCTGTGCCCTGACACTCACAACTGCGAGGAGGCCGGGCTGCTGGGGATGGAGTCGGCGAGCGCGTGGGACTGCAAGGGCGCGTTGTGGACGCTGAAGCCGTCGTCGCTCTCGCTCACGGGGGGCTCGTTATCCATCTCTGAGAGATACCCCTCACCCTGGTCTTCTTCTTTGGGCTCCTCCAAGCTGGCAGCCTCACTGGCACCATCCTCATCATCCTCCTCACCCTGCCCRTCCTGAAACACAGAGTCCATGAGCCGGCACAGCCAGCTACAGCAGCCACRCAGAGCCTCCAAAGCAGCTATGGTTCTGTGAGTTAAGTGATTCTCTGGTTATGATGCTGACAATTGTACAGGCACTTCCACAAAACCCCAGTCTCTCCAGCCTGCCCTGCTTCTCCCCACAGACCCAGAACCACATACACAAACACTTACAGTCTGAAACAATCTCCCCTGCTGCTGCAACTGCAGACTGCTCACTTCTCAGTGCAGAAAGCTGAACAAGCTTTGCTTTTCWGCAGACAGAAGCAGCAGCAGTGAGATGTTGCTAATAAACTCAAAATGACTAAAACCAACTGTGAATTACCTTCATCTGACTCCTAAACAGAGCTTGGGCCTCCTCCTTTATTGACTCTGTGAAAAAAAAAGAAATGCAGAAAGATTGACTCTCCCAAGCAGTCTTTCCTAAAAAAGCTCCTGCACCGATGCCTACGGTCCTGCARTAATTACCACTGTTCCTACACGGATCTTTTCTCCCTCCTCCCCAAAAAACCTRAACCAGATAACTAGCAACTAACCARCTAATAATGTTGCATGTAAAAGATTTCCTAGCTGAATTAAGTTACCTGACAGCTCAAATTTGTGCTGAACATCAGCCTGTGAGGAGTCTTCACTCACATTTGGGACTTGTGGAGGGGATGAATCATCATCAGGTGGGGTCTGGAGGGAAGAGAAATGCACAAATCTAGATGTTTGTGTCAGCTTACTTCAGTGAAGGTGTGGGCACATCTCACTCACCCTAACCTAACTCAAGGCAATGAGGTTCACTAAACACCTTCCCAGCAGCAATTCTCATGGGTGGGGGGAGATACACAAAGGTACTGCCTAAAGCGGAGCTGCTCTGCACATCAGCAGCCTGACTCCCAGGAAAACAGTCAGTCACATTCATTGAAGGGTCACCTTCAACCAGCACTCATCCTTCCTCTAAACTTCTCTCCTACCTGCCACAGCTGCTCCTTTCTTCCCCACACCAGTGCCAGACAGCCTCTCTGACCACATACCTCTGTCTTCACTGGATTGAGCACTGCATCTTCTGCCTGGGACGACTCTATCTTGATTTCAGAAGTCTCTCCTGATGTTACAGCTGCTCTTTGATCTTCTTCTATCTCTTGGTTTCTAAGTTCTGGAGTTTCTGTCACTCTTGCASTTGCTGGTATGGTTTCTTCAGGGCCCAGCTGAGTCTGGTCCTGCTCTGGAAGTTCAGTCTTTATTTCTGACCCCAGCTCACCAATGCCCATTAGGTCACGAATTCCCTTTGCCTCTGGTTCCTCACACTCCAGTCTCTCTTGCTTCACAGTCACAGACACTTGGGGTATCTGGGCCTGTTTCTCATGCTCCTGACGAATTGAATGTTCCCATGGGCCAGGAAGGGTCTGAGGGTCATCGGTATCTTCRCAGAAAGAAGACAGAGCAGCCTCAACAACTGCTGCATCCAGGACTTCAGGGTGGTCGTCCACCTTTATTTTCAAAAAAAAAAAAAACACACAGCATGCAGGCCAAGGTCAGAAACAGGATTAAAGAGCAGTTTGTGTTATTTCGTGCTGAGACAATTGTGGAAATCTAGTCTACTCTGTTTTACAAAGTTGTCTTTCACAACCAGACTTGTATCATTCCCTGCGGAAGTCTCCCATGGAGCTTCAGGTTCAGAAACAGGGCACTCTTGGAAAGGATGCTCAAGCAGTGCTCATCTGTCTGCCAGAGACATGACCCAAACCCTACCCAACACAAGCAAGAAAGACTTCTTTCTGCACTCTGAAAAAGAGCACCAGTGGTCAGACAAACAGCAGTGGTGTCCTTTCTTATGGAACTGGAAAATGACATGAGAATATGCATTTTGGAATGTTTCTTTCTTGCTTGTTTAACTAAACTGGTGAACAGCAATCATTTGAAATGAACCCAGYTGAATGTGGAGCAAAAGGCACCGGCATTCTGCTTTCCCTGTTTACCTTGTCCTCAATGATGGCTATAATATTTCCAACCGTATCGAAGTCCAGCTCTTCCCCCGTRTAGGACACTGCAATATCCATTTTCTCAGCCAAATCCAGATCTTCTTTCCCATCCATGCAGTGATCTTTGGAAGACCCYGCAGTGCTGCCAGCCCCAGAACCCAGGCACTCTTTCTTGATGGAATCRATGATCATTGATATTTCACTGCTGTCCATGGACACTGTCACAGTGTGGGAATCAGTCACTGCCTCCATGGAAACACAAGCTTCTGGCTGGCTCACTGCACAAGGATGAGAGGGACAGTCAGAGACCAAGSTGGAGAAGTCCAGCCCAGATAAACACTGCAGTGGATAAGACCAAGGACCAACCACAAGTATCCCAGGCCCACCCACACCAMCACAGCTTAGATAAATAAAAGACAACTTTAGAGTTTGCTTTCCCACAGGAGAAACAAAGTGAGATCCCAGCCCTTGAACCACAAATCACCAGCACCCCCMGCCCCACCCAGCAAACCCTGTTTAAAACCATCTGTTTACTCCAGAACCCAGCCATAACCATCCTTTTTGGACAGGATGGTGAGCCTAACGTGATAAAGCCCAGCTGAGAGCTCGCTGGGTGCTGATCCCATGGAAGGTTCTGTTTTCCAGCAGGACATGACCTCGGAGTGCGTAATTCAGGGACGCACCTGTGGCTACGCTTTCTGGAGCTGCAGCTGGTGGCACAACGGCTGGTGCTGACAGCGTGGGCATCATGACAATTGTGGCCTGGGACACAGGCTCTACGGGGGGTGGCAGGAGCTTAGCTGGAGGCTCGCTGGCAACAGCGGAGAAGGAAGCAAGAGGTGAGGTGAACTGTGCAGGACCAGCTTCTAAAAGCCGGGAAAGCGTAGGAGCACCTAACAGAGAGTAGAAGGGAAAAGCACATGAGCAAGAAGCAGCCACCACTGAAGTCCACAAAGCCACCACTGGGCTCTTCACTGTCTGGTGGCTTCTTCTGGGAAAAGACACAGAGAGATACCTATAAACAGTCCCAAAAGCTGTACAGAGAACCTGCACCAAAAATGACTCCCACTGTGTGTGCAGTCTGAGGCGGAATCATGCAGCTACAGAACACTGCGCTCACAGTAAGGGCTGCACAGAACAAGGCACACATGCACAGAGATGCCCTTCCAAAGGCTCATCCCAAAACCATTATGGGAAATCTGAAAAACAGTGCTGAGAGAGCCACACAAGGTAAGCCAAGACAAACAGTCATCACAGGAGCTGGGAGGGAGCAGAGGGGATTTCTTTTCAGGTTTTTGCTGAAGAATTCATCTTATCAAAGGCTGCCATTCAATTTATCTGTAACTTCCAGTCTGAATTTACTGAACTGTCTGAACCAAATTAACAGGTCTTTAAAAAAAACAGATGTGGATAAGGAAAGCAAGACTACTGGTATGGAATTCTGTAAGAATGAATGACATAAATTGTCAGTTGTAGACACTGTGATTAAACCACTTGTTGGAAGGAGCTGAGAAAAAAAAAATTCACCTTAGGCAGCTTGTTTTRAAAAAGCCCAGAGCAGAGCCTTGCACTGTCCCMCTCACCCCCACTCTGTGGAACTTCMTCTGGAGCTCAGTGGYATMAYCYTGAACAGATTTCCAAGATACAGCAAAGGGAAGGCACAGGAGAGTTCTCCAGATCCACAGGTTTGATTTGGAATCAGATCTAGACCATTTTTTTCCCAACKTCCTGTCAACAAACCCTTTCTTTCWACACKCARATGCTTGGTATTAGCCAGTGTCAAACCCAGAAAATTAGACTGCATGGATCAGTACTGAATCAAGTCTGTTTCAGTCACTCTTCTTTCTGTAAGGATTAGGATCTTAAAAAAGTGAGGGGTGAGATGGACAAGGCTAGAGAAACAGGAATACAACCAATAGAGAAGCCCCCAAACCAGCCAGATTAGACACCCTTCATCTTTCTCCCATGAGAATTCACAGAACAGTCTGAAGATGCATCTTAAGGSAGAACTGTACAGGGAGAAGCTCGAGTTACCTGAAGCAGCTGGAGATGCAGGGACAGCACCAGGTGCCGACTGCATTTCCCCACTGTGCAGCACTGGAAGGACACTTCCTACCTCCAGCAGCACTCCCGAGCTGTTCATGTGACCAGAAGCCACTGCCATTTCATTTTCACCGACCTGTCAAAGGAGGATGAGACTGAAGTACCCAGAGACACCATCCCACCAGTGATTCTCTGCCAGATATGCACCTCCATGAYTAGGACAACCATTTGCTGTCCGAGCATTTCTTCTGCACTTTTAATCCAGGCTAGTCCCTGCCTGAGGCCCCTCACACAAGTGCAGAACATGAGAGTCTGAAACTCTGTTGCTGATCTTCAGCTGTAGCATAGCTGCAGTGCCACCTTCCTTTGAGATGAGGCCAAGTGCACCAATTGCTCTGACATAGTTCCTCTGTTCAAGAACCTCACAATCCTTTTCACGAGTGTCTCTAGACTCTGAGATGGCACAGAAATATCCCTCATTTTGAGCTGAGAGAAACAGAAGTACCATGTTGGAAAGTAACTCTATCAAGGGCACACAGTGAACCGGTGATGAACCTTGAAAGAGATGTAATCTTGTTCCTACAAAGAAAACACAGCCTTTCACAGCCATTACCTTTCCCTGCTCCACTCTGTGTTACATCCTGCAAACACAAAACCTACGGAACACTTACCCAAGCCAAAAAAATAGAAGAAAACCCGCATCTTACTATAAAGAAAAAAGTGAACATCAACACACCTACTCCAACACACAAGCACTAACCCAGGGAACCCAGGCCTTGAGCTGTTCAAACTGGGCTCTAAGCAGTGCCAGTATCTCCTAAGACTTCCAGAGTCACTAACACCACAWGTGGGCTCTTAGCACAGTGATTTTAGTAACTGTCTACAGTCAGGAGACAACTGAAGCATTCCATAGGTCATAAACCCCATTCAAGGATTCCCTACTCTTATGCTAAGACACATTAAAAATACTGAAACACAACTTCTGGATAAGATGTAAAGAACYGTGAGCCCAGTGTAGGAATCACCAAGAACAGCTCCACAGAGGCTGATGGGGATGATGCTGACTAACAAGTTCCCTCCCCTAAGAAGAAAAATTTCCTGTAGCAAACCCTGCAACTCCAACTCCTTATGACTGAGGGGACAGACAGCCCTATGTGCTGCATGAGCCCTGCAGTCCTGTTGGGAAATKGTCCCACCTCTGTGGCTCACAGGGGTATTTACACCTCTCAGATATCCCTTCTGCTGGGACTCTCACAAAACTGCATGTTTTTAAGAAGTCTTTGCAGATCCCCCTTTTTCTGTGGGACAGTCTGGAGCAATTTGTTTGTGTGCTTGTATATATGAGCAGAGAGCTCCATACCAGCCTGGGGCTTGTGGGCAGGAGACTGCCCTTCTTCAGCAGCTCTGAGAGCAGAGGGGAAGGAGGCGGAGTTGCTTTTTGTCCTAGCATCTTTTTCTGGGGTGAATCATCAGTGACTGGGGTCATGGGGGCATCCAGGGGAGCAGAGCCTGGAGGGGTGTCAGGGATTCCAATGAAGGAGGCAACTGGGGTGCTGGGCAATGTCCCTGGCGTGACCTGAGAAAGAGAAAAACCACACTGTTCAAAGCCACACTCCACCACACGGACCAGCCCCACTTGCTGCTTCCCCCAAGAGCATTGATCCAGCACACCACAGACACCTACTCCATTCACTCGCTGCCCCTACTCCAGGCATGTGCTTTCACCCTTTCCCTGCCCTGCAGTGCCATTTCCCAGGCACTCACAAACTGCCTGGCCAACCCACTGATGCCCCTACACGGCCTTTGATCCAGGCAGCGGATCACCACAGACAAGGACGAGGACATGGATTTTGAGCATTGTCACCAACCACACTACAGCAGTAGAAGTCTGCAAAGCAAGGCAAGGGCTTCTCCCCAGGCCCCTTCTCTGTGATGGATGCAGAGCCCCATGTCCCAAGCTGGACTTCCCCTCCTACCCAGAGGAGGATCCTTACCCCTGGACTGGCCTCATCCCCAGCCGGCTGGGACAGATCTCCCAGGGAATAATCCCCGCCCGGGGAGGTGGAGCCAGCGGGAGAACGAACCATCACACCCGTGAGTCTTCGAGGTGGGTTCTTAATGGCCTGGCGAGCTGGAAGGGAAYAGAAACTAAAGTCAGATTGCATTGCTCCATCCTGGACAGTCCCTGAGAGTTACCTCAGATTTTTATCGGGAGGAACTTTAAGAAAACAATTTATGCTGCAGGAATTTCACACTAGGCTCAGTTCCCAAATAACACTAACTTTGGGTAAGGCACTTCAATTGCGGGTTTCTCGAGCAGAAACCAGTTCCCACCTCCAAATTAAATGCCTCAAGAGTTATGAAGATCTAACCATTCAGGAAAAAAGTCTCTTCCTTTTATCTTCAATGACCAGGGAAAAGTAAAGGTTTGAAAAGCCTGACATTCGACCACAGAGCTCCTTACCAATCCTGCTTCCCTTTGGATACATCTTTTCTACAGATTTTGTTCCTTTTAAAAAAAACCCTGTTACAAATATAGTGCTGGAAAGAGAACATAACCTTTCTCTCCAACTCTAGGGTCAACGAATTCCTTCTGCAGGTCTTAGCAAGACTTGAGTATTTTCTAAATGTTCTGATAAATAGACACATCTCTGGAAAAAGAAGGCAGCTCATTTCCAGCTTACCTTGATAAGCAGCATCTGTAGCCTTCCTCTTGACTTCTGCCTCCTCCTCCTCCATTTTTTTCTTTCTGTATGAAGAATCAAAACCTGCTGTCACAGGGTGTCTCAGTTCCCCTTAATTCCTTCTTCAAAATGAGTTTTACTGACCCGCACCCCGTTATGTCCAGAGAATATGAAACCACCCCTTCAGACTTGGGCTCAAATCCCCCAAGGAGAGGAGCAGAGCCAGAAAACTACACACTGGGCAGGAAATTTCACTTCCACCTGATTGTCAAGAGACAGCAAGCATGGTGCTGCAAGCCATGGCCAAGCCTTTTACTGAGGTAGCCCCCAGAACAGGCTGATTCCCCCCTCAGAGGCCAAAGCATCTGCCTGGCTGCCCCATTTCTCTTAACAAAAAGTATGTGGAGCAAGAGATGCCTGACAAAGAGAGCATCAGGAAACTACAATCTCAGAAGAAATAATTAAATGACCCACATCATAATCTCATTGCACAGCTCCTCCAGTCTGTTATCCATGTGTCCGGCCTGGATCAGCTCTGCATCCTTCTTGAGTTGCCTGGAATCATAAMATCTTTTTACTTTTTGATCACTGAACTGGACACCCCAAGCAGCATTTTCATTCCAATCACCAGCCCACTTAGACAATATTTTCAGGACAGGACTCTCAAACGTGCAACATGTTAACACCTCTGATATGTACCTGTATTTTTCCTGTGTTTCTTTAATAATTTTCTTTAACTCCTCAACGCGCTCTGCAGTCAGTTTCCGCACAATAACATCTTCCACAGTTTCCACAACTTCTCCCTTCTCACCACGTTTTCTCCTACAGAATAAGAGAAAAAAAAGTCACACACAAAACACAAAAAACCCTTTCATATATAGCTCTTCTTTCATATATAGCTGCTTTCTGTCATTCACAACATGGCTTGCACTAAAAATCAACTTCCTCCAATGCCCTTAAATTATATTAGACAGTACAATGCTCAAACGATCCCTTCTGAAAACTTTATTTAATGAACCTGTGTTAAAGTCTTCAGGAATAGATCAAAGATGTAAGTCCACCAAAAATTCTCAATGTGAAAAAAATCATTCCACTCCAAGAGGAAATTCTGCAGTGCCATGAAGAAACATCTATTATTTTTCCTCAATAACTCTATTAAGCCCTTTGATTTTGCAACTCTAGCACTGAAGATCATTCATAAATGAACCAGTCATACACAAATATTACTTTTAAACATCCCATCTTTAAGTTAGTTTAATGTGAAGTCCCCAAACAAAATGTCTGGAATGAAGAGCAGTAAATATCTGAGACCACAAAGTATTGGTAAGAAAACTGTTAAGAAACCACTGCAAAACAGAGACAACTATAAAACATCTCCCGTCTCACTTCTTCTCTTTTCTACTCCTATTCTGAATGAAAAAGTTATATGTAAAACTTCTGATCAGTAAGACTAACATGTAGTGTTTTATTTCAGTGAAACAATGTTATCTTTCCCATCTTTCACACACCCTGATTCCACTACATATCCACAACAGCTATTCCAACTGATTTTTCTCATTCTGGAACCCTCATTTTGGARGAAGTTGGTTGGGGAATAGTGAATTAACAGTGACAAGGACTTTGCTATAAGAACCCATGAGTCCCTTCTAAGCTGCTGMAGACTTTGTACTCACTTAGGGGTCTCCGTGGTCTCCAAGAGCTCTGAGTACTGAGATGCACAGTGCTGAGAARAAACAAAGGAAGTCAGAGAACAGTTTGCTTGCCCAAACAGCAGGACACACCAAAATACATGGACATCCACAAATTCCTGAGGCAAGGAATTTCACACCTCAACCATATACTGGTGAAGAATCTCTTTAGTTAGTCTTACTTAATAGCTGTGGACAAAGCACGGAATTAATCTTTAATTCATCCTCAGTATGGCATCTTTGATTGTGTAGAGATTTAGTGTCCAAGACTCAAATGTCAGTATCTTACCTTTTGGGAAAACCAGTCAGGTGGACGTCCTGGCTCTGCAAAAGGTTTGATGGCTCTGCTGACCGAGACCCTGGGGGAGAGAAACAGCAACTCACCATCAACTCACCTTCTCCCTCAACCAACATGCAGAGAAAAGATTCAAACCTGTCTTGACATCATTGAATAATGACCCTAAACATGATACCCTCACCAAGGAGTTGTTATGTTGTACAAGACTCAAAAATACTTGCCTCATCCTAATAAGCAATAACTTCACTCTTTTGCTTTGAGAAGCAAGTTTCTTGCTTCTGGTTACATGATTACATTTCCACAAAATCCTTACTTTATTGAGAACAATGAAGCAAAACAGAGCTACAGGTTCAGTGCACATGAATCTGTTACCAAATATCACTATTGTCCACAACTCGTCTTGTCTAATTATAAACACAGAATCATAGAATGGGTTTGGTTTGTTTCAGGAACAAAAAATCATTTTGTTCCAACTCCCTGCCATAGGCAGGGACACTTTTCACTATCCCAAGTTGCTCCAAGCCCCATCCAACTTCCAGGGATGGGGAGCCATAGTTGCCCTTCTCAGCATCTCACCACCTTCACAGTAAAGGTGTTTTGCCTGATCTCCAATCCAAACTTCTCTGTCAGTTTGAAGCCACATCCCCTTGTCCTGACACTCCAAATACTTGTCCAAAGTACCTCTCCAGCTCTCACCACTCTTTAATTTGATTAACACGCCTCCAATTTTACACAGTAGTTATGAAGCCAACAGAATATCTGTCCAGGTGCACCTTTAACACCCAATCTTCTTTCTGAACAGAGATAGTGGGGTCACAGCCCATGCCTTGCCCCGGCACCCGCTGCTTTGCACATGGCGCCCGTCTCCCCCGCTCCCGTACCAGTTCTGATCACCGCTGCGCATGACGGAGGAGGCCAGGCAGAGCTTCTCGCGGATGGACCAGGGCTCGGTGGGGCCGGCGCTCAGCAGCTTGTGCTCTGCGGGACAGGGCAGGAGTGCGCGGGGGCAGGGACCGGGCACACCGGGACTCGAACCCGCGGTTCCCACAGCTGGCCCCTCCCCTCCCGGGCACTTTGGCCCCATCCTCCCGCCCCACTGGCCCCGCCCCGCCCCGCGCCACCGTCGCCTCTTCCCGGGAAGATCCTTCGCAACCGCTCCGTTCTCCTCGGGTCATTCCCCTTCCCCTTCTCCTCCCCAGCCTCGCCGCCGCTCGCCCCCGCCGCGTCTCCCGCCCAGCTTCGCACTCACTCCCCGGCCCCGCCGCCATCTTCCCCGCCCGGCCCTCAGGGAGGCAGGGGCGGCCCCGCGCGCAAAGCCCGCCGGGAGCTGTCCGAACTCCGCCACGCCCCCTCCGCCGTCTGCGCTCGCGCCTGGGTGGCCAGTAGCCCGGGCCCCGCCCCTTTATGCCAACGGCGGGCGCTGATTGGCCGCGGGGCGCGCGTGCGGCGCTCCCATTGGCGGAGCGGGCGGGCGGCGAGGTTTGAAACCGCGACCGTGAGCGAGGAGCACAGTGGGGCCAGCGGAGTTGTGGGGGTGCCTCAGCGGCGGAGGGTGAGGGGCCGGCGGCGAGTGTGAGGGGCCGGCGGCGAGTGTGAGGGGCCGGCGGCGAG